TATTTCCTAGAAAAATTCATGGAAAACCCGTCTAAGAATTCTTGGAATCACTCAAAACGCAAATTCTTCCCTTGCAATTATAAAAAGAATTATTATTGCTTTCCAGGAATAGTATACATTGAAAATTCCTTGTAAAAGTTTACATATTTTCAAAATAGAGTGGTTCACATTTAGACTTCATATTCGCAATTTTATATTTAGATTTAAAATTCAGATACAATAGACATTTATATTGTTATTCTTTTTCTGAGAAAAGTTTATATACATAGATTTTGGAGTCTATGCTTTTCAAGATCACTCGCTTAATCAATGATTTAACCTCAAGTAATAAACAAAATCCAAAAGATTTCATTTCATTTGCCCGTACCGTAAATTTTGATTTATAAAGTAACAACTATATATATATATATATAAACTATCTGTATCATTAATATATATATAGTATCTAAAACCTTCAATCTAGTTAGAGGTTGTTAGGATGGAACTTTTAAAATACACTAATTTTAGCTTCAACATTTGTAGTTCAGCATTTTTGTATCCGAAGAATTTGTTTCAGAGTTATTTGTTTTTGATGAATTCGTTTCTTTCGAGTTATAAAAAGATTTTTTTGAAAAACAAGGTGCTTATAGGACAAAATATTTAACTCTTTTACATTTAAAGTTATGATTGTGTTGATGGTTTGCAGTGATAAAAGCTGAAAATAAGAAACTTAATAAATCCAAGTTCGTATAGCTTTGAATGATACAGGTCATGGTATTTTGGGTGACGTAATTCTTATTAAAATAAAAATGTGCCATAATAGGTACTTTAAGTAATCTCTCTAAAATATATATAATTAATAAAATTCCTTTAAATTCCACCATTGTCATTAAAAGTAGCCTAAAAAGTTAAACCAATCCTCAGAAATCTTGTTAACAAATATCTTATGAAACTACAGAAAAATCACCTCGATTTCAGATCTTTTAGCAAAAACTTTCTTCTCAAGGACTTTTTTAAAATTGACCAACCAAAATCATTCTAGTTTTTGTTTAATTTGTACATAATGAGAAGTACATGTTATGTTGTAAAAGCTTGACGAAAAAACATAAAATATAATATTGTTTTACGTTTCAAAACATAATAGTAAAGAAAATGCTTTGCAGTGATAAAAGGGTAACATTGAAACTAGTTTCTTTAGAATTGAATAAAAGTTCCCAAAGGAATTTCCTCAGTGTAATTCTTATCAGAATAAAAATTTTTAACTTGAGAAATTCAAATATCCTTTTTAAAGATTAAGTTCTCCTCCAAGTTCTTATAGCTTTGAATGTTATAGGCGATGGTATTTTGGGTGATGTAATTCTTATTGGAATAAAAATGGGTTATAATAAGTACTTTAAGTATTCTCTCTAAAATATATATTGGTCTTTTAAATTCCACCATTGTCATTAAAAGTAGCCTAAAAAGTTAAACCAATCCTCGGAAATCTTCTTAACAAATATGTTATGAAACTACTGAAAAATCCCCTTTGTTTCAAATCTTTTAGCAAAAACTTTCTTCATAAGTGGTTTTCTTAAATTGACCAAGCGAAAGCATTCTAGTTTTTATTTAATTTGTGCATAATGATAAGTATATATTATGCTGTAAAAGATTAGTTAATATAACAATAAAGAAGATGAAGTTTATATAATAATAAAGATGATAATAATGAAGATAAAGTTTTAATATAATTATGATGATAATGAATTTTAATGTAAGTTTAATATAATGATATATCTTATGTTTTAAGAGCTTGGTACAGAAAATGTAAAATATATTATGGTTTTACGTTCAAAAACATAATAGTAAGGAAAATGCTTTGCGGTTATAAAAGGGTAACAATGAAACTAGTTTCTTAAGAATTGAATAAAACTTCTCTAAGTTATATCCTCAGTGTAATTCTAATCGGAATAGAAAATTTTACATTGAATAATTCAAGTATGCTATTCAAAGATAAATTTCTTCTTCATTTTCCACCAATATCATTAAAAGTAGCTGAAAATTAAAAGTAATACCCAGTAATCCTTTGTTATCGAACTGGTCTTGAAAGTAGCGATACCCACTTCAGTATCAGAATTTTCAGTTCCTATAAAGCATCGCTTCACACTTGGTGGGTTCTGAAAATATTCATCGACAGAAAGTTATGCATCATCGTGTCAAACTAGTTTCTTTTGAATTGAATAAACTTCTCTGAGTTATATCCTCAGTGTAATTCTAATCGGAATAAAAAGTTTTACGCTGAGTAATTCAAGTATGCTATTCAAAGATAAATTTAACCATCAATTTCCTCCAATATCATTAAAAGTAGCTGAAAATTAAAAGTAATACCCAGTAATCCTTTGTTAACGAACTGGTGTTGAAAGTAGCGATAACCACTTCAGTATGAGAATTTTCAGTTCCTATAAAGCATCGCTTCACACTTGGTGGGTTCTGAAAATATTTATCCACAGAAAGTTAAGCATCATCGAGTCAAACTAGTTTCTTCAGAATTGAATAAACTTCTCTTGAGTTATATCCTCAGTGTAATTCTAATCAGAATAAAAAGTATTACTCTGAGTAATTCAAGTATGTTATTCAAAGATAAATTTCTCCTTTAATTTCCACCAATATCATTAAAAGAAGCTGAAAATTAAAAGTAATACCCAGTAATCCTTTGTTAACGAACTGGTGTTGAAAGTAGCGATAACCACTTCAGTATAAGAATTTTCAGTTCCTATAAAGAATCGCATCACACTTGGTGGGTTCTGAAAATATTTATCGACAGAAAGTTATGCATCATCGTGTCATAAATCTCCATTTTATTTTTTAAAAAGCGTCTTAGAGAAAATCTTAAATTCTCCTCCCAGCATCTTCCCTGGAAAGAGTAAAAAGCAATTTGAACCTGAAAGTCGAATTGAATTACGATCTTCTCGAATGCTTTTTTACAGGACTTCTCGTCATGTCTCAAAGGCATTTCGACTTCCAGAGGTGTTTTAAATTGGATTAGAATGCTTGCTCACGCGAAAAGTATTGGAATTTTTCTACGACTCAATGCTTCGATAAGTCTTGAGTAAACGTGTGCTACTCTCTTAAATAATTGACTTTATTTTACTTAGGGTGTTTTAGAGTAACGCCAACCGATCGCTCACTTTGAATTTTAATACCGAGGAACATCAAAGTCTTTAGTGTGAAGAAGAGACAATAATTTTGTTTAAATAGGAGTTTGCTGATTTTTTTTCTTCTTTAGACTGATAGAATTTATTTTTTGAAAATAGTTATTTACTTTCCTCCAAGGCATTAATAAACTTTTTTTTTGGATTAAGAAAAGCTATGAAATAAGTCTAGGAACTACTTTTTAGGTATTTCCATACCAATCAATAAGGCAATAAACGATATCAAAACAGTTTCCATCCTTGTTAATGAATATCTTATCCAAGATTTGGGTTTAAACTAACATTGATTAACCCTTTACTGTTATTTTACATTATTTGATGTTAGATGAAAATTCCTTTATTCTATGTTTAAAAAAAAACAGATGAAAATTTTTCCAGATAGCGAATATTATCTTTTTGAAATTCTTGATGCTTTATATCAACATTTTAAAGATTATTGGTACAATAAATGTACCCTAAGTATTTATACCTTTATATATACACAATATTTGATACATGAGATCTAAATATAAATTTTTTGAGAAACCATTTTTGATTTGTCTTCGATATGGCCCGTACACACAACTCAGTTAGAATGGAATCTAATTTTTGAAATTAATTAAATTTAACTCATAACTAGAAAATATTAAAAGAGAAATTTCGCTTATATAAATTACTCTTGTTCCGGTCGTCCGCAAAAGGTTAAAGCATTTGTTGTAATGAGCCAGCAGTCGGTACGAATTAATACAACTAACTAATACGTTATCTAAGAGAGAGGTTTTTTAGTGAAATCGATTAACCCCTATTTTCTTATTTAATCCTCCGTTGCTTCAAGTGTGAAAACAAAATCAGCAAAGCTTCTATTAATGTGATAGTTCTGATTCTTTTGTTACTATGGTTATTTTTTATTAAAGTCATTGTAGCAATTAATTTGCAGGTGTATGTTAACCAAATTACTAATATAATAGCCAAGAAGAAGGTTTAAAGTAATAACGATTGATTCTATATCCATATTTACTCTTAATTTAAGTTAGATTGGAAATATTAACGAAGTATCTGTCACGTGACGATCGTGAAATTTTTGTAACTCAGTTTATGTTATATTATGGGCCGGTAGTTGTATAAAAGCCAACTAGGTTTTAAAGGGATTCAAACCCAGGTCTCCGTGTTTGGAGTAAGCGTTCCAGCTACGAAAGCTGGAGACATCTGGCGGGAAACACAGTCAATAAAAATTGCTTCGACTGGAATGTCAATAAAAATCGCTATAACTAGAATGTCAACAAAAATTTCTATATTAATGTATGACATTTTAATAGTTATTTTTTCCGTTTAATAAATTTATAAAAAACTAATCACAAATACGAAATGACAATAAAAAAGGAGAAGAACTGTTCTTGACGAACTTATAACTATAATGCATATAGAGTCGATTCAAAATAAATAAGAAGTATGTAACACTGTGTTATGACATCTCGCAACTAAAAAAATTATGTGTTAATAAGCATAGTAATAATTATCTTATAATTAGGTCATTGACGGATTTCGTTAAGAGTTATAGTTCTTATAGCTGAATAAAAATAATTATAATATTTTTTTAATAAAAATGAAAAATAAAGCAAACAATAATTTTTAAAAGAATGAACTTTTCTCTGATGAAAATAGACAAACGTGATTTCAGCAATCTTCTTTATTCTGTTTGCTCATTTTCTATAATAGTTCTGCCAATTTTAGTTTTATCAGCACTTAAAAATATTGCAGTCGAATCAAATAAGTTTAAGAAACTAAAATTTTTAATTAATTAAATTACATTATAAATTAATAATTCACTTAAGTAATTAATAATTTTTTTTCCAGCTCTACTATCAGGTACATTAAGGACGTTCCAAGTGCATGCATGTGATGGGAATGAATTAAAAATAGAATGTTGGCCTAATACAGTGATCAATATTTATTTGGCCCAATATGGCCGTCAAGTGCCCTCACATCAGCTTTGTCCGCCTGAAGACGTCACCGATGGAGCTTTATCTAGCCTAAACGATACCACCAATTGCTTATCTACGCATGCTCTTAGGGTAAGAATTTAGAATATACATTATTTATTTTATTTGCATAAGCACTAATTGAGCTATATAGACCCGGAATAAAATTTTGTATTTATTGTATAAAGTATTATGATGATTTTATTATTTAAAACCGGATTGTAGAAAACTTAAGGTGAAAAAAAATCCATCATTTGGTTGCTGTGATGTGATGAAAGGAAAAAGGTATAAACAAACAAAAACATATGTTTGGCAATTTTTTGGTGAGAAATATTGCGTATTTTATTTCAGCATTATGAAATGGATCGATTGTCAACAATAAAAAAATAGAAATGCAAAATTTAAAATATTACTTTACTTATAAGAAAATTTAAATTAACACATTTTTAACAGCATCTTGCTGGATCCTAGATGCCAATAGAATTATAACAGGTTAAAAAAAAGAAAGAAAGAGGAAAAAATGAAGATCAAGCTTTTAAACATATCAATGCATGTTTCAGCAAGTTGAATTTATCTCAGTTCATTTCAGGTTACAATCCGGATTTAGCTATGAAGTTTTCCGGTTAAACCACAGCGAAGATTCTTTTGTGGTAGTTCCACCCCAAAATGGTTTGGTACTCGAACCTAGCTAAATGCTTGATTGCACCAAAATTTTTCTTTTTAGGAACCGGTGGTATAGGCTGATGGAATCTTATATTTTTTCCACGTCTACCACTTCTAGTAAACAGAAGATGTTGAGATTCAGATTATGTAGAATTATTCAAAGGAACGAACACTTCTAAAAGCCTGACTAGAGTCGTTCTATGCCTATTGTCGCTGTACGGGATATGTCTAAATATAAAAGAGAAATGCTTATCTCTGTGTGAAAGTACCTGGAAAGGTCCTTCGAATGGTGGAGTTAATGGTGATACAATCCAATCTTTTCGAATGAAAACATGGGTAGAATTCTTTAAAAAAGAATGCAAAAAAAGAGGTTCGCAGTGAATGATCAGCAGCAGGAGCAGGTGTAAGCTTTTCTGTGATATCTCTCACAGATATTAGATGAAAGTAAACTTTTTATGTGTTTTCTGGAAGGACTGAAAAATTCACCAAATAATCTTAACCACTTCAGAAGAGGAACATCTTAGGTTATCCTTAAATACTAATCTCCTTCCTAAAAAGGGATAAGCAGAGACTTGCCCCATCGAAGCTTGTTAGGGCACATAATACTTTTCTTTAAAGTTCTATAAAGGAGTTCGACTGTACCATTTGCCATTGAATGATGTACAGATTATTTTATTCCATGCATAAAAAATAAAATGGCAAGCAATTTAGACATAAGTTGTCGGTCTTGATCACTTGTAATCATAACTAGCATGCCAAACTAGGCTACCCAATTAGCAACGAAGCATTTTGCAACAATTTTGGCAAATATCAAAGTGGGTTTGACTTTAGGCCTTCGAGTATAGCAATAGATGCGGGTAAGAAAGTAATGGTGTAACCAGATCAATATTAATGAATGTGTACGAATCTGTGATCAGGCAACGCGAAAAATCTTATGATGTCTATGAATCTTTGACTTTTGATAGCTGATTCAAGATCATGTCCAATGTTCAACACCCGTGTAATGAAGACCAGCTGAGTCTCTCCCTTTTCAATACCCTTGTGTCCTTTATACCGGGAGGCGAAAGACTACTTAAACTGTCAAAAGCAATCTTTTGATGATTGAAATGCACATACGGTGGCACCAGCTGGCTCTACGCATCACAATGAATAGCGGAAAAAGTATTGTTGAATCAGCCTTTTATTCAACTGAAGCGATGAAAATAAATGAATCTGTCAATCGATTCTGTAGTCCCTGGTATTCTTGTAGAGCTTCAACGATATCCTCCAGATTTGCAGAAGACCTGAAAATGAAATTTATTTGAGAAAGGGTATCAGCTACCACACCAGGTGCGAGTTTAATGTCTGCAGTATAGTGAAAAATATATTCGAGTAGATTTAGCTACCTAAAATAACAGGAATCAGGCTTTTTCCTAATAGTGTATACCAGTTGACAATGATCTGTAAAAATAGAAAATTATCTTCTATTTCTAACGTTTTGCATTCCAAAGAAGATGACTGATAATACTCTGCAATAGGTACTGTACTTTCTCTTAGTTCGGTGTTTCGATTGGAACAATTTCACTGAAAAGAAGGAGGCTGGTCGTGAACAGTCTTAAACATAAACCGCTAATGAAATTTGTTTATCTGAAGGCAAATATACCAAAGTGGCTGAATTGGCGAGGTCATGTTTACACTTTTCGTATGTAAATATAGATTAATTATTACAATCTACCAATCTATTATCCCCTTTCTTAGCATTCTTAATAAATTCCTGACGCTTATTTTTTTTCAGCATTGAGAACAAAATTTTGATGAAAATTTTGCTAAGAATCCAGAAGAATTACTTACCATTGCTAAGAATCTTCTAAGTTCTGATATTGTTTTAATAAGTTCTGATATTAATTAGCTTTTGTATGTACAAAATTGTGTGAAATGTATCAGAATGTGCTTCAACTCCATCAGGTGCGATTTATCATCATAGAAAAGAAACTGATCCTCTGCCTAGAACACATTTAGAAGCAATCAATATTAAACCATACTCGGGAAACCTTTGAAAATGCAAGTTTAAGATGTATTTATTTCGTGCTCCTTTTTATCGATCTAGGCAATTATAATAAATAAGGTAAACAAAACTCTAAATCTCATATAGCCTGAAATATAAAGCACTGGAACGGGTGGTCTGTATTTGGCAATCCGAATGTCATAAGACCACATTCGAATAAATCAAACGGAACAAGTTATTACTGTCTTTGGTATACCATCAGGGTTAAATGGAATTTAGAGGCATGCTATACATAAGTCTAAAGTAGAAAATATCCTCTTACCTTCAAGTAGTTTTGTGCAATCCTGAATATACAGTACGGGATATCTATGAATCCGGACTCTTATGATTCGGATCAGTAACTGCCTTCAAAAGTCAATAGTCGCCAGCTGCTCATTTGCTTTATAGACTATTAGAGGACTAGTAAAAGGCTTTACCATAGACTCTTAAATGGACAAATAAATTCTCAGAGACATATGGTAACAAAAAAATTAAAGTAAAGTAATTTGGAAGTATCGGTTTCAGCATAGGTTTCTTCGATATTAGCCAATATAACTGAGAAAAAATAATTTGATATATCGTGCTATATGCTTATGTATAATATATATATATATATATATATATATATATATATTAACCGTGTATAAAACTAAAATTGAAGTGAATAAATTGAACATTTGTATTGTAATATATTTAAAACTATATCTTGTTATGAAATGGCAAATGCTTAAATTTTCTTTTATTAGTTAGCAACAAAAATATTCAGGAAAAAATAAATATTGAAATTCTAGATTTTCTTTTTACTAAACCAAACCAAACACTCCCTTTTTTATATCTTATTTACCTCAGCTCTCCATCAAACATATACGATGCTAACTAATAATCATTAAACTTTATAAAAAAAGCCCTCTGTTATGTAATTTCTTTTGTTTACCAGACACTTTTAAGCTGGGCTTAAAGAAAGTAATTACTTTGATTTTTGAAAAAATTAAGACTCTTTAATACACTGAGCTATTAGCAATAATCGATTACCTGACTCGTAGAAATTGCGAAACAACTGAAATGTTTTTATGAGCAAAAAAACAAAAAAAAAGAAAAACACTTAATCTTTCTAGAACCACATTAAAGTTATGTTTTCACAAAACATAATAAGTTAAAAAAATCATTCAAGCAAGCATGAAATAATTTAAAAGTTTGAACAAAAAAGCCAAATTAGCTGCGTATCTTTACATTTTATATATTTTTTTATGTCGGGTAGTTTAAAAAATATTGATTGGAATATTTTTCAATTGTTTAGATTTATTTCTGCAATTAATGATTTTTTTAAAACATATATTTAATTTTCGGTTTTCTTTTCTGTTTTGTTAATAGTATTAAAAAAATTCGAAATGGAGATTGTTTTTTAATATATTTTTAATTCCCTATTTACTTTCTCTTTCAATATGTATTGGAAAATGTTGTGATGTATAACCCACTTAATTTTTGATTGATCAGTGTACCATTTAAATTAATTTCAAATAAAAATGTATTTTTTTTAAAAAAAATGAAGTTTTTTTAGAATAAAATCATTTTTTTTTTTAAATTGTTCTTTTATTAATTTGATAATTTTCAATGTGTCTCTATGTACTATCATTAAATTGGGGAGGGAGGCAGCATTAGACGGCTTCTCTGACATAGGGTGGATGAAAGTACTGAAGTGGTTGAAAGTGCTGTTCTAAAAGCATTGAAAAGTTTTATCAGTTATAATCTTTGGCTAAAGACTAAATATATCACCTCTTTTTTTCGTCACTCAAGAGATAGATATTTTAATTACTTGCTTTAATTTTTATGAAAAATATTTTCTTGTAACATTATTATTTTTATTTTAATATTTTTATTGACTTAAAAACTCACATAAAATTAAACACTTATATTCATAAATTAATTATGTTTAGATTAATAATTATAAAGTGACGTAGAAACCACGTGAAGATGATTTACTTGGAAAGAATTCTTAACCTCTTGAAAGTTGAAGTCACTTTGAAGTGTGCTTTACTAACTCCATTTCAGGAAATTCTTCACATAATATATTATAATAACACCAAACAACTTGAATTTCGGAACCAGATAACAGGTAGCACCAGCTTCTAATGTTTGTATCCAACAGATAAGTTCTAAACAAGCAGCATATTATTGACATCGTTACCTTGGGTTACTTCTGTAATGAAACAGCTATAAAGCAGCTGAGCTTAGAATTGTGTACTTGGAACTAGAGAAGAAGTGAAGTAATTATACCTAACCAGGTGATTTAAAAGGATACATGTTAGTTACGTCACCCGTTTGTGTCGAACCTGATTGGCTTCTGAATTGATAAATGCCACAATTTATCTACGATGACGTCACTTGCAAGTATCAAATTGTATAACTTCACGACTAACTATTGCTTCATTGCATTTCTTCAAACTAATTCAATATACACCTCTTCTACAAGGTGTTTCATAACAAACAGAAACTTCTCTTTTAGAAGTTACAGAATTCGTACAACATCCTGCATCTTCCGCTGGGAAACAGAACAAATAAGAGTTAACTAGTTCTAATTATCACCTAGTTTAACGAGAATATTAATTTTTATTTGTTAAATAAATTATGTTTCAAATTTTTTAAGCAACTTTGACGTAATTGTAATTAAATTATTTGTTTGAACATAGCGAAAAACTAAATACAGATGCAGACCAGATATTTTTGAAATATTTGTTCACTTGTTAATATATTTTTATTTCCTGTGTGGATAGTTTTGATAATTCTTTCTAGTATGATTTCTTGCAGACTGTGGAGGAGTCGTGTAGAGAACAAAGGATATGTAAAGTCAAGACTTCCCCACAGACCTTTGGGAATGACCCCTGTCCTGGGGTCAGGAAGTATGCAGAAGTTGCTTACAAGTGTAGACCAAGTGAGTTTCATCTTAACATCGTTGGTTATTTTTTAACGTCTACAAGGAGAAAAAAGTTCTGTTCATTTTTTGGTAAAAAAAAGCATTATTCTGATTAATAAAACTAAACTATACGGTATTATTACGGTATTTTCATTCATTTAGCGGAAACTCTGGTTTTCAGAACTTTATTTCTTATTACCACAGTTTTGGTAAAAAATACAAAACTGAAAAGTACATTTAACGGAATAAATATTTTAGTGCTAACTATATATGTATCATAATAAAATTACCACATTTACCAAATTTTATCGCATATTATAAAAGCATATTTTATTGTTAATTTTACTGAAATTATTACTAAAGTGCTTCTTTAAAAATTACCCATATTCTGTTGCTGCCATAGAGTTATAAAGGCGGTAAAGTTTGCCATGTTCTGGTTGTTTCAACCACATTTTTTTCATTGTAGAGTTTACTTAACACACACTTACATTTCTTTCTCTGAAAAAATTAACGCTTACGTTTTAAGAAAATTGAATTATCATTAATGAGAAATTAAAGAACAGTTTGTACTTAAAATATTAATGCTACGTATTTAAAGCATTGCTTCTGAAAGAGACAGAGAAGTAATCTGGGACTTCAGCGCATTGAGTCCGATTTTTACACGATTTTATTGCACTGGAGAGTACACAAAATGCGCTGCACAATGTATTAAAATAATTGATGCTGAATGCAACAAGGGTCATGTGAAACCGTGAAGCTTTCTGTTAGTTCAGAAAAGCCCTTGGTACGACGAGGAGATAGTTATAAATAAAATAAAATAAACAAATTGTACACAAACAATTTACTGAGAACACTTTGTTAATTTGGAAATTTTTTACAAAATAAACAATATATAATTAGTTTTATATTTAGTACTTCACATAGATCAATCATAATTGCAATGATATATGAAACTTTTGAAGGTAATAAAATTTTAAGCCAAACGTTGGGTGAAGCCGATTTTTCAAACATCGGAAGGAATTGTGTTGCTATTGTCTGCACATCAGAAGTAAAAACATCCGTTTTATTCATATATTTTTCAAAATTGCAAGTTTCTAGTTATAACACCTGCGCAATTTAGAAATAGAATCTATTTTGTTCTTGTCAAAATGTATAATTGAAAGTTTTTGTCGCACCACCCCAGAAGGGGTTGACGATCGTTTGTTTTCTTCAATAAGGGTTGCACAAAACATTATCAGTTTCAATATAAGTTCTTATAAACAGTGAAAAAATGGCATGGATAATTTGCAGATTAATCGTAAAATTATGCGTTATAAATTGCAAGCTTAATGATTTGGGAATAGCATTCAGAGTATAAATTAATTAGTAGGAATATTTTTTACTAACTTAGTTGAAATTCATATATTTTGAAATTGATTACTTAGAGTTTTCTTTTTTCTTCATTTAATACCAAATTCGAGTCATAGACTAAATTAGAATTGCTGCGTGCATCAATTATCATAAAAGCAACCGAGATAAAATTCATCATATTTCTGAATGACATTTTTTAAATATTGTGAAAGTTTCTAATGCATGTTTCTTAAAGCATACTAAAAAAATTAACAAAAAATCTAGATTTAAATAATCATTAATTCTTAATTGAACACGTAACAAAAATGGATAAAAAAAATCAAATAAAATAATCTATCCCCTTTTAAGAACTGTCCCAACGGTTTTAAAACATTTTATATCTTGTCTAGAAAAAGAATTCTTTTTGGGGAAAAAATCTTGATATACATCTTTCAAAATCAAATCATGAAATTGCAAGATCTATCTTCACATCTCAACTCTTACATGCAAATAAAGTAACTCAAGGGACTGGGGAAGTTACCGTAGATCTAAAGTAAAAGATATATGCTTAATGAGAAAAGCAAGAGTTAGCTAAAAGGCTTTGGAAACAAAAATTTGATTATGCTCAACAACAACCCGGCTTAGAGGTACGTCTTTTTTACTACGGTATCAAAAAAGAAAAACAGAAAAAAAAAAGAACTAAGACAAAAAATGAAGGTGTGTAGGATTCGGTATTTTGATCAAGTTCCATACAAATGAAGTAGGGGAAAACAGTTCAATTTACTGTTCTAACAAGAACAGAACTTAATCAGTAACAAAAGAATACACAAAATAGATTCAAAGTAGCAGCAGCAGTAATGTCATTGATCGAGAAGATTGTCTTGGCACCTTTTATTTGGCGAGGAAGAGTGGGATCTTATGTGGGATTAAATTATCAGTTTTGTTCTTAAATAATGTCTTTCAGAATTTCATCCATTGTAACATTAAAAATATAAAAAAAGAAACATGTTTTGATTAGGTTTTAATATTACTTTTAAAGGGTTTTTTTAATTCTTGAATAATGGCATATTTAGGAAATAATTTTGATAAACAATAATGAAACGATAATATTGTTTGCTAGATAAAAAATTATAACTCAATAAGAAGTACATTGTGAAAAGTTGGTGCATAGTTTTCACCACTTTTTATGTTGAGGTAAACTGAAAATTTAATCTCAATATGTGAACAATAATGAAACGATAATATTGTTTGCTGGATAAAAAATTATAACTCAATAAGAAATACATTGTGAAAAGTTGGTGCATAGTTTTCACCACTTTTTGTGTTGAGGTAAACTGAAAATTTAATCTCAATATGTAACCAATAATGAAACGATAATATTGTTTGCTAGATAAAAAATTATAACTCAATAAGAAGTACATTGTGAAAAGTTGGTGCATAGCTTTCACCACATTTTGAGTTGAGGTAAACTAAAATTTTTACAGTCAGAGTATTTACATTATTATATTTGTACAGTCAGAATCAGAGAACATTTTTATTTACTCTTTTACTGTTATAGTTTTATTCATTCAATTATTCAAAGTTTTGCTTATTTATTTACTGGCAGCAAATATTTTCATGCGCCTTAGAATGAATTTAATGGCTTCAGTGTAATAACATTTCGTTTAAAAACAACTACATTTTTAGTAGAATAATTTCATTTATTTCTATCAAAAAATTGTTATGTTTTCAATTTTATGTAATTTTTTGTACGATAACTGCAGTTTTGTACTTAATAATGTATTTTGTTTACTCCATCACCAAAAATGGGGGCAACTATGTCCTAACAATTTTTACATTAAATAAATATGGAATCACTAGCCCTTGTAGTCTGCTATTTTTTGTCTCTCGGGTACCGCGTTTCTTTTACTTTTTTAATTATCTGTATTTTATTGTCCTATTTTTTCTTCGGCAACTTTGCTTTTATTTACATCTGTTTTGTTTTCTTCACATAAGATTGATGAGTTTTGAGAAAGGGTGTCTACTTTAAAGCTCTCAAAACATATAGACTTTTTCTACCATTTTAATCTATGAAGCAATTGAAATGTTTAAATTTATTGTTTAAGTATATTTTCCTACATTTATTACTTTTATCAGTATCGGTATTCTTTCAATTCTAAGCATTTGTCAAGCACGTGGCACATGGAGTTAATAAATATATTTGGCAAAATTTTTTAATTATGTATTTATGCCTGAAGCATTTTTAAAAAATGTAAATACAAAATAAAAATTTCATTCTTCTAATATAACCTTAGCATTCTACATTTTTAGGATGTAAAAAAGGATTTTTTTTTAAAAATTCTTAATATATCTTTTAATGGGTTGAAACAACAACACAACAAGCGATGATAATGAAAAATTGTTTACTAGCGAAAAAATGATTCTTCAATAAGTTCTTTGTTTATCTCCGTATTTTTATCATTTTCGGAATTCCAATTAAGTTTCATGAAATTGAAGAAGCAATAAACGATCTTCATTGTTGGAACAATAACAAAAGACTTAATCAGTTATAAATGACTACTAAAAATATCTTCACAATTGAAGTAGCTAAGGTAACATTGATTGTAAGGATTGTTTTCTCATTCTTTTTTAGTTAAAAATGGATGCGTCTGGTTTTTAATTCTTGTTATTAAAGGTTATTGAGTGTTTTAGTTACATATCCATCATTTAAACTGGATTCTGTGTTTCAAAAAAAAATACAAAAATTTAAGTTTTTTTTCAATATTTGATTGTAAATCTTTGTTTATTTTATTCGATAGAAGCGGAAAACTTTCTATTTATAAAAGTAGGAAAATAGCGGGAAAAAAAACGTTTTTACTTACAAGTGTGTAATTAAATGGAAATTTTATGAATGCGTGCATTATATACATAAGTATTATACAGTAAATGATGGTTTGGGAATTTTATTAAAACCTGCTTTTAAAAAAAGTTTAAGACAATTGCTTAACTTGATAAATATACTTATAGTATCTTATACAATCACACATGGAGAAAAATCTGGTTAAATAACCGTATAGTATGGTAATGACATTTCTTTAAAAAAAACATAATTCTGGTATTTCTGTTTTTTCTAAATGTGCATATTAAGGGCCACAATATAATAACGAAGCAAAAAACAATATCGTGGAAGAGGCGAATTTAAAATAATCGAAAACCATCTGCTAAAGTTAAGTGGGAAAAAAAATTTTTGAAGGTGATTATTGGAGCGACCTCCAAGTTTCGTTTAACAATAAAACTGGTTATTATTGTTTTTTTTAATGCTATTCCCCTCTATTGCGTTTCAATAAATTTGGATAAGATTTTGTTTTTTTTCCCTCGCAAACAAATAACTTCGAGCATACTTATGTTTTTCATCCAATGAATCAATAAATACTTCTTATATTTTCCTTCATTCATCTGATAGAAAGTGAAAGGAGATTATTAAAAACACCTTTAAGTTTTATCCAGGTATGAAGCTTTTTAATTTATTTATTTATTTTTAATTTTATTTTTTTATTTCCAATGAGCTGCACAAGTGTGCACACATGAGCAGATCTAGTGCGTTCTCCAGAAGTGGTATCCACTATTTCAGGACCACCACAATGGGTGACATACCGTTGGCCATGTTAAATTGGACGTCAAATTTCTGCCACACTAGATGGCAGCACCGAGACTCTTATTTTGATGCTAAAGTAAACTAGGAATTTTATTTTGCCGGAAATGCCAAAAGCCAATAAGGCTCAAAGATATGAAGCTTAATTTGATTATTTTAATCCCATTTGCCAGAGTTGTGATTAGTTAGATTTTGTTCAGATTTTGTTTCTATATAATTTTCTAAAATACAAACTTGAAACCTAAAATGTGCATAAGATCTTGACTTCATTTAAAAAAAAATATTCATTGAAAACACTATATAGAAAAGATTTCTAAGAATGTACTTTAATATGTTATACACAAAATTTCTGAAAATATACATTGAAGACTGTTTTCGAAAAGATTCTAAAAGTATAGATTTAAAAACTATATGCAAATTATAAAGAGATTTTTTTATGGTATATTGAAGAAATGTGTTTTAATAAAAGTTTACCAAAGGTTTATCCTAAACATGTTTGTGCAGTATTAATAGGAATATTTTTCACTGTAAAAATACCGGATCAAATTACGATAAAAAGTACCGGCACTCCGAAAAGTCCCTTTTTATCGGAACATGTGACAGAACAAAAAATCTGATGTAACACAATTTTTGTAATAAAAAATTACCGTAAAATCTCTGAATCACTCTCAATAAGTAAATATGATTGTAATAATAATTTTTTCCGTAAAATTACGGAATAATGTTTTACTGTGAAAATGGATTTCACGAACGATACATCCAAAGTGCCGATACATAATTTGTACCGGTATCTTTTACAGTGAGCTTGTGGTGTATGGCACTTAAGAAGAACTTCTAATTTAAAGTTTCTGAACTTAAATTTGATTTTATTTATCTATCTGCCCTATTTCAGCACAATTGATTTAATTAAGCAGAATTGAAGTGACATAATAGATTACATTATTTTCTATCAATATTTAATACAGTGTAAAAAAATCCGTAAAATCCATTTCTACCGCAACATGTAACGTAAAAAAAACTCTGGTATACCGTAATTTTTACAGTAATGATTTCCGTAAAATCACTAATCTACTCTCATTAAATAAATATAACTGTAAAAATTAAGGTATACAATTTTACTGTAAAAATGGATTATATGGTAAAACGGATTCCACGGATGATGCACCCAAAGTGCCGGAATTTTAAACCATAATTTTATCCGGAATTCTTTACAGTTTATTCGAGGTGTATGGCGCTTAAGCTCAATGACTCGTGGTGCATGGTATTACTTTTCTACTAAACCATTTTAAAGATTAATTTTTAAATTGCTTATAATTATATTTATATTATTGGTTATAATTGATCCAGAATTCTTTATAGTGAGCTCGTGGTGTATGACACTTAAGCTGTATGGATCGTGGTGCATGGTATTACTTTTCCAGTAGACCGTTTTAAAGTTTAATTTTTAAATTGCTTATAATTATATTTATATTAATGCTCATAATTGATCCAGAATTTTATACAGCGTGCTTGTGGTGTATGGCACTTAAGCAGTATGGCTCGTGGTGCATGGTTTTACTTTTCTAGAAGGCCATTTTGAAGTTTAATTTTTAAATTGCTTATAATTCTATTTTTAGATGTCTTCTCGAACAAAGTTGTTTGCGAAGGAGAGAGACTTCGTCTAAGGTGTCACAAGAATCTCCGAATTGTTATATATTCGGCGGCCTTTGGTGCCACCCATTACGGAGTCCCTGAGTGTCCGCAGCCTGAAGGAGAAGGGAGAATAGAAGGTAACTTGTTATTTATTTAATGGATTTCATTTAAAGTTTATATTTTGCTTAATAATCAAGTTTGTTAAGTTTTTCAGAATTACGAAACGCCTATAAAATAAGATAAGATAAAACTGGGGATACAAAAATTTTTGAAAACTCTGAAATATCTCAAACATATATTGGAATGATAGAGTGAAAGTAGTCACATTGAACGTCATACAATGATACCAAACTCGATCTTTCATCCCAAGCCCCTGGTGACGGTAAGTGTGGGGGGGGGGGCAACATCGAAATGTTAAATATGAACCCGTATTTTTTATTGCAGATTTGGATTCTTCAGGAAAAGGAACCTTATTTGAGTTGCATGTTTTTGCCTCTAGCTTAGCGGGTGGCGTTGTAACCGAGGGAAAAAAAAAAGAGTACAAACTGTTAAAAATGGCAAATCTTGAGAGCCATTAGAATAAGAAAATTAAAAAAAAACACGTTGAAAAATGTTTAAGCGTTTTTTTTTTTAAAATTTTCTTCTGGAAAAAAATACAGAATTTTTTTTAGCATTATTTTTTTTCCAATCTGATGAGTCTCGCTCAAGTTACCATCAATTTCAAAAGTTTCTACACTTGTCAATTTTCGTGGCCACAACGCCATATGTAACGCAAAATACGTAAACCGCTTACTTAAATAGTATTACATTTTTCTGGTAAATTCAAATCTGCGACAAAAAATAGGGTATCATATTTAAGATTTCAAAGTTGCCTTCCGTCACCCGGGGTAGGCATACTATTGCGAGAGATTATCTGCAAAAATTCCATTTTACTGCAAAAATTCATTTTGCGCTAATACCGTTTTCTTAAACTAATATTTATTTAGTTAGATTGAGTCAGTGGTTTTACTGTAATTATTACTGTAAAAATTACGTTATACCATATATTTTGCCCCGTAACATGCTCAGGTAAAAATGAATTTTACGGTAAACGGTACCAACGCTTCCTAATTTTTACAGTACTTCTATCGTAATACTTTTTACCGTAATTTAATTCAAAATATTTTACAGTGTAATTTAGAACCTTTTACAAATAAATTTAAATGAATCATACTTTTTTGACAGTTTTTACTGATCTAAATCATGAAACAAGTATCAAGTATAAGTTCGATAGAAAGAAATAAGAATTCTTACGATGGATAATTTGTAAGATATATTACAATGCATTATTACCAATTATTTGACTAAATAAGAAATTGTCATCATCAGTTTTATTTTATTAAAACCTATTTGGACGTAAATATGTCAAGAAATATATCCCGAAATTGTGAGAAATGTTACAAACTTTTAGTGTTGTTCTTTTATTTTTCTCTAACTGAATTCATTTTTTAAATAATGAACGTAAATATTAAACTTGAGGATTTAACGAAACTGAAAAATGTCGAACAATGAATTAAACAAGCGAACGCTGAAGATTTAAATCCTTTTCGATTGAACGCAACTCATAACATACTTCAAGTAGAAACTGCATATTTCATGCAACAATTCATATCACGGATTTACATAAGTTTCGCCGCAAAAGGAAGTATATTGGTCCTCGCTTAGTTAGTCTTTGGTATTCTATTTTATGTTCGATGAATAAGGAGAATGTTCGAAAGTATATTCTGAATTCAAAAGATGCGTAGTTAGAAGAGGATTGGAGGAATGAATAATTTTAGAACGAATAATATAATATCTGAAAAGAATTGATTAGAAGAGAGGATAAGTTAGAAACGCATAAATGACCATATATAAGAGAAAATGTATTGCTTAAATGATTTTTAAGTTATCTCGATAGTTACTGTAATAATTTTTGACATTTTGTGAATAACAATATCGAATCTATTAAAAGAATGAAGTTATTTTAAGAACTGGGATTTAATTAAAAAATACATACAAATCAATACCAGTGATTTTAATCAATCCCTTCATTCTTTCAATGGTTTAATTTAATTATTAGAATAATCAATTCCACGATTTTGAACAAATTACAAGACAGTTTAGGTATAAAATTAAAATCAGTGTATTAAAGCATGAACACGGAGGGTAAAGCATGAAGTTTTTTAAACATTGGCTGTAGTTGAACAATTCTGTAGTTAGACACTGTTTGTTGAATAAGCATTATAATTTTTCTCTAGTGTCCTGGCTACTTCAGAATATTGAAGCATCTGCTATTTGTTTCTGTCGAGATTTTTAATTTTTCTTTAAAACATCATCGAAAAAAAAAACTTTCGAGTTTTGGTAAGTTGCTCTTAAGGAAATTTTCTGCATCACAAGTTCGAGGGCATTCAAAACACCGTCCAGTAGACAATGCCAATGGTTTTAATCACATCCTTAAATTCCTTTCAATAGTTTTATTTAATTATTAACACAATTAATTCTATGATTTTTAACAAATGACTAGACTGTTTAAGTTTACAATTAAGATCAGTGAATTAAAGCATGAAGGTTTTAAACACGGCTGTAGTTGAGCAATTCTGTAGTGAGATACTGTTTGTTGTATAAGCATTATATTTCTTCCCAGCTACTTAAGTTAAACTAACGCGTTTAATATTTTTTTTGACATTTTGACACATCAGAAACATAAAAAAAAAATCCCTTCGTGTTTTGATAAGTGGCTGTTAAGGAAATTTTCTTCGCCCCCAATTGCAGAGTAATCAAAACAATGCCCAATAACTATCTTTTTTGATACATTATGTAGCAACTGATAAACCTCAACCGTATAAAAAAAACAAAAAAATTTAGCCTTTTCGTTTTTTTTTCACATTTATCACACGATCGTTATGCTTTGAAATTTAATGAAATTACTTATTTCACTTTCTCGTACCATATATTTTTTGAAAGAAAATGTACCAGGTAGGATGTACAATTTTAAGAAGTATTTTTGAAAATCAATGGCCATGGGTGAAAAATCTAAATTTATGATAAAGATGTTTGGAATATAAGGAACTCAATACAATTCTCTTAATATTTGTTAAAAAATTTGAAATAAATACTATGGAATTTTATAAAAGAAAAACGCTTTAATTACGATATTTACAATAATTGTGGAAGCCTAATGAAAATTCGAATTACAACATATCTAATCAAAATATACAACTATTGTAGAGTTGAGTTGTAGGCTGCTGGTAGTTGCTGTTGCTGATACTTCAACAACATTATTTCTTTAGCAACAGTATTTCTTTAAGTAAAAAAGATGATCGTATGCATCAAATTCAGTGGAACAATCTTCGCTTCGATATTTAGTTTCATCCATATTGTAGTGCAAAAAGCGAAAACTATTAATTTTTTTAAATAATTCATATTGCCTTACTACCATCAACAGTCAAAGTTATTATAAATTAAACGATTTTTAAAGTTGTGCCTATATTAGGTTTAGTGCCCATACTTGAGTATCGTACTAATTTCTAATTTACCAAAAGAATAATTCTTCCTGTGTGAGATAAATTTTAACTAAAATGATGTAGTAAAGAAAATTACATAATTAATTTACTTTCTTAACTACAAATTAATAAATTCTCAACTGATTAATTATGTTAATTTTAACAGAAGAATTATTTAAAGCAAAAAAATACTTATAAAAATTGTATATTTAAAAATTCTAACTATAACATTAAATACATTCCATAGTTTATAACCATTCAATAGTTAAATTTAAAAAAAGAATTCCAGTTTTGGTCATAAATATGTTGTTATTATTTGATAAATTGTACTATTTTCTATATAAAATGGTCTATATATGAACAAATAATGTAATAAATGATTACAATGTATAACTACTATACATTATTTAGAACTTGAACGAATTTTATCTCGCTGGTTAAGAAATATTTCAGATAAAATATAGGTAAAAAACTGCATTTGAAGGATATTTTTCAGATATTTTCCTCCAAAAAAAAGGGGGATCTGACAACATCGAACTACCATTAAACGATCTTGTTACAACTTTTTATTTCTACGATAAAATGATCGATGCTCTAGTATATTGTGATTGATGATTTAAATTTAAAACTCGATATACAGCAATTTCTCTGTATTTTGCGTTACATAACAAAATAAGCTTTGACATATTTTTATATCCAGTATAAATGCTTTTTCCGTGTCTTTCATAGACAAGTTTATTCAAGTTTAAAAATTGCAGGACAAAAAACGGTAAAAATTTAAATTTTTTGTTACAACTTGCATAATAAAATATGTAGCCAAATTATATCACGATTAACAATTCTGATAGCAATAGTTAAAGAGGTAATAATAGAAGCTGTATTCTCAGAAGTATAGTTTCGACATAAAACGATAATATTGAAAGCTTAAAATACAATATGGTTCACGTTTGATATGAACTAGTTAGTCTTCTATTGTACCACATTTCGGTTCAAGCTTACCGCTACTCTCCTGTAGCAAGGATTACATTGCATGGTAAAACGGTTAAATTTTATACCATATTAAGGATGCAGCTTTTTTTCTTAATTATATTATTTTTCAAAATGCTTCAATACGGTATAAATACTATGCATTTACGTCACCGAAAAGGATGATAATTTGGATTTGGTTTAAAATTGTTTGACGTGGCATAAATATCACAATAAGATTTCAGCACGGTGAAAACAAATTCAGATAAAATTAACATAATGTATAGTCATTTTTTGGTAAAAAGCCATATTTCTGATTAATAAAACAGAAAAATATGGTTCAGGGAAACCTCCATGAAAGACCACGTATGTGTAGCGACCTCTTCTATTTACGACCACTTTTGGGAGGCACGTAATTTTTTTTCTATAGACTTTGGGTTGAAGATAACTTTTAGGAGATACTATCAAAACCTCTAAAAGAGATCGGACTCAAACAATGATACACGGTAAAATATCAACAAAGCAAATAAGTAGATTCAAATGTGTTCTAAATATTGGAGAGTGGCTCTTATTTAGAGAGGGTTTTTCGACAATCTCTATAAAAGAGATCGGAAAGCTCATGCTAAAGTCAAAGTTTACTAAAGACGATG